GTTGCCCACCCCAAAAATATCCTGAGACTCATCCAACCACCCTGCGTGGCACTCATCAATAACGTGCGCAGTGGTTCTCCCCCTGACTTGACAACCACTTGTGGAGTTTCAGCTGATGACAATATCAAGGTGTTAATCCGAATAGATAACAAAAAGACATATTTTATATTTTGATATTTAAAAAAAATTATCTGTATTGTTTTAACAGATAATGGAGAGAACCAGAACAGACTTCTATTTTAGCATTAATCAATGTTCGAACAAAATCTGTATTAACAATTAACATCCATCGTATTACATCACACATCCGATAGCATAGGATAAGTTAAGTTCTGACGCAAAATTCTGACTGTCGTCGAGACCTGACTCGAAAATCGATTCACGCGTCGCCACGTCACGTTTTCTGTCGAGAAGAGATCGTTTTGTAAGGTTCGGGGCAACCTTGCACACGTGAGAGAGCGGCGCAAGAGAGTGAATTTTAGGGGTGGATTCAACTCCGTGGCATGCGACGCTATTCTTTTGTGCCTTCGACCCCAGCGGCCGACATGCTTCTCTTTCTCTCTTTCTCTCCTCCTCTTCTCGATTGCCGTACACTTCCTTTCTTCCTTCGTCCCTTCGGCCCTGCCGTGACCGCGCTCGTGCGCGAGGGGTGCCCCGCAACCCTCCGTCTATCAGGGCAAGCGCCTGCACATGCGTGTTCGCACGCGAAGACAACGGATCTCATATTGTATTTCACGTCGGGAAAGCGCGCGAGTGAAACTGTCGTGTCGCTTAATGTATTCGCGGCGTGCTAACGAGTGTCCGTGATTTATCGCCATCGTCGAGAGACCCCGTACTTTTCTCTCTTCGTCGTAAACGTCGTTGTTGCGGTATTGAACACTTGACGCAGCAAAAAAGATGCAAATCTTATACACGAGATAAATAAATATAATTTAGCGAAGCTTATGTATCCTGATTAACATTTTTTTTTTTTTTTACATATAAGATACCTTTCTTCTTCAGATCTTTAATATTTGTCGCATTTTATAATATCAGCTGCATCCTGAATTTGAGATTTCATTGTACCACATACGCCCATTTAATTATTTATTTTTAAAAGGTCCGAAAATTTTCAATTTCTTGATAATCGGAGAGAAACGTTTTGAGAACCTCTGATGTCTCTACGCGATATCAGTGCAGTTATTCCGGATCACGGTCTACGTATCGGACCCGAGTGCTGGGCAGGGACGACATATGCCACCTGAATGCCGAAAATCAGGGGGAGCAGTCAGGTTTTTGGATCGAGTCGAAATTCGGGGATGCAAATAGAGATTAGCCATTGCTGACGCACCGCGCCGTGCCGGCTCACCTCTACATACGTGTGTACGTGCGTGCGTGTGTACGTGCGTGCGTGCGTTTGCATTAGTCGCGTATATATATATGCATACATAATTTATCGTGCCACGCATCGATACGGGGAACAACGTCTGACGTCTGTTATTGTTAAAGAACGCAGTGGCCACTTCGACACAATTGTTACGACGCATCGCACATGTACATAGACACGTAACTCGTGAATTCGATATTTTTTTAATACTGGATGCACCGATTCATCTCGGGAAGGGTATTTGTAATCCGCTAGGTGCACAAGAACGATTGCACTGGCATTGTCATTGTTATTTATTCGTATCCATTGTAGTATTTTATTGCCATGTGTTCGCCTAGTTGCGAATTATACAATATATTTTTTAGACATTTATATTTTATACATATTCAAAGGTGTCTAAAATAAATTATTAAATTTTGCAGTACACATCATGCATCTAATAATGTAAAGTAATTGTTAAAGATTTAAACAATTCTAAGAATTTTGTTGTAATTTGTGCATGTAATTCGAAATATAAGAAAGTTATATTATTTTAGTAAGTATGATTTATGATGAATATATATATATTTCGACATAAAATTTCTTTAATATAATTTTATTGTTTTTACTTTAATTAAATGAAATGTATTCATTGATATCGAAATCGATTGTTTTATACGATTAATGCAACCGAATATATTGAACAATGATTCAGCGTTGTAAATAGAATAACATCGGATTTAGTGGGACAATTACTTGAAACGATTTCACTTATTGAAATCGAATATGGTTTGCCACAAGATGTAAACAAAAAAAAATTGAAAAACAATTTTCTTTTTTCATGTAGAGCACACCGCGAGTATTTTTCTGAGCGGATGAAGGAAATTAATTTGCATGTAAAAATATGCTTATCATTTTCCGTTGTATAATATAACATAGCGTATCAGCAAGTAAAAGCTTGTTGTTGCGTAATGTCCAGTTAAGAAGAAGTGTATAGCGTGAAAAAGAAAAAACTAGAAGCCAGGGAAAAATGTCCACTGTTCAACGTCAATGAAAGCAACTATGAAATAGGTATCGGTATAACACGATCACTTCTTTAGAATAATGGTTCTTCGGGGCGATATAGAGAGAAAGAGAGAGAGAGAGAGAGAGAAAGAAGAAAAGAGCAGAAAGAGGAAAAGAAAGAAAGAGAAAGACATGTTCCAATCGTGAAAATAAATCTCCATATCTGACACGAAATGGAACACTTTGGCACTTTTCTATGAAAAGCTATGGATGAATATCCTCACTGGAGGAGATAGAGAGGGTAGGGCGAAGCGTTGAAAAAGGAACCCGATGATTTTTACTATGCTATGAAAGAAGTTGCGGACTACTAAGAGGATGGGTCCGGGGGATAAACGGACGGCAAGGATAGATAAAAAGAAGAATGAAAGGAAGATGAAGACTGGATGAAGAAATGGGCCCGTTCTCCGATGGCACGGGAACCCGTCTCAAATCCGTTTCTTTGAAGAAGTTTTCTCATATAGCAAGTCTCTTCTTCTCCGTTCATTCCCTTCGCCAGTTTTTTTTTTTTCGAAAAGAATGGAATAATTCCGTTTAATTAATGTCATTAATTACATATAAATTGCTACTGTATTAAAAAATGAAAATCTCAAATAATATGAAAATTTGAAATAATGTTTGCTCTCTAAAGTTGTTATTATATTTCTGAAGTTAGCACAAATAACATTTTTTAGAAGCAGATAATTAATAACATTGAAAAATGGAAGAATTTATTAGCAGGTAGAATAGATTGCAATTAATTCTTATATATTTTACTCTTTCTATTTTTCTTTATGAAAAATCGCGTTCGTTCTATAATAAGATGGTAGGCTCGGTAGCTGACAGCAAAAGAGAGACCCTAAGGTCAATGTACAGGCAAAGGTTTGGTCGCCGATCAGGTTCTTTTGTCCATTTTAATCCGCAAAGATGTTGCTTGCGTAGCTGTGCCAACTTTCATCCGCCGACGATCGATTTGTTGACTTACCTACAAACGTAACAATTTGTAAAACTAGATAGAAAATCAGATTTGTATACATACATAATTCTTTTTTTCTGTTTATTGCTAATCTAAAACTTTCTTTTTAACCAAAAATAAATATTTCAAAAATATTTAAATATAATACATCAAACGAAAATAATCTCTTTTCATATAATTAAATTTTAATAGTTTATCTTATTTAATTTTATATATTTTTTATTATACAGACATTCATAAACCATATTTATAAGAGATATATAGACTAAAACATTCAGTATACTTAATAATTTATATAATTATGCTTTGTTTACCACATCTTCATGAGTAACAACTTGCAAGTAAAAACTAATTACGTTCGTTGCCCGTTCTTAACGTTGCCCGAAATTATGGAGCAACATAAATAAATAATCCAGAATATAATTTTTGTAGCAATCTACTTCGTTTCAAGAAAAGTGCAATGTAATGGTTTGATAATAATTGACTGCTCGAACTACTATGTTGCAATCTGAGACTCGGGTCTGATTTAAGGGTTAAGGAGTAAGTCTCCGAGATATCGGGCGATTAGCGCTTCCTGTCTGCGGCAACCACGAGTTAGCAAGTTGCCGGCACGCGTCCAGGGATTCGCCGAAGTCGGACTCGGAGGGAAAGGGAGACAGGTGCATCGCACCGCCAATTATATTTCGGAAGGGAAAAAACGAGCGGTGCGTAAAAACAGGAAAAAAGTCCGAAGGCGCGCGCACATACGCACGTGCGAGAAGGAGAAAAGGGGGGAAAGCGAGAGTGACGAGGAAGGGGGAAAGATTGAGAGCCCGAGAGAGCGGGGGAGAGTAGACGGAAGAGGATATTGGAGAGGAAGAAAGTAATGGTGTGTGGTACTTTGAGTGAGAAAAAGAACGCGAGGCGATGCGTCGCATAATCCATTCGCCATGTGATTTACGCGAATTTAATAGAGAATTTACATAATTATGGGGAAACAAATTGATGTACGGGTATACACGGGAATATACTATATCGAATGATGGCAATGTTAATATTAATCATGTTAATGTTAATTATCCAAAATTCGTCTCTCCGACGATTATTATTTTGGATGATTTATCGCAAAAGTCGGCGTTACGTAGTCGCTGTTGGTTTTTTTGGGAGATACTAAATGTTTCTAAAAAGTCGGTAATTGCAGGGCTACCTTGAATCAAGCCATTCATTTCTGGCGACACATATGTACATTTATACTGGAAAAAAAACTTCGTCAGTCCAACGAAGGGGAGCGCAGGATGGTTTTCTCAGGGACGATTCGGCCGTGTAAATTCGCTTTAACGCGATCCAGATGCCCGCGTAATTGACAGAGACGGATTCGCGAGTGGTCGATTTTCATAGTTTATCTCGGCGCGCGATGACGCTGCGCCGTAAGATTTAATGACAATAATGGCCGAGTATTAAATCTTCGGCGTGTATGTCACCGCTGGCAGCTCGGCCGAGCAGCCTTTAATTATCACGAGATTCGGAAGTGGACTTGAGGCCCTACGAGATGAGACCGACGAGATGAGCGGACGAGCCGTGGATTCGCGTGAAGAACGAATCTCCAAGAGGGACGGAGAAAGAAGAGAGTTTTGAGAAGCGGCTACGATCATGAAGAAGAGGTCGTGCACCTGCTGTTTGCACGCCACTAAAGGCCGTATTTATAGTCGTTACTTGAATCTTGCCTCAAGGGCGTATCGAGTGAGATATTCCGATCGGAATTTCATATCTCGCCGCACAAACGATCCACTGATGACACTTTGAAGGAAGATTTAACGGACAAGAGAGAAATATGGCTTTGCATTCCATGCTTGTGTTTATACTAAGGTATGTAGCGTAGCGTTACGCATATACAAGGTCGCCGTGTTACTTTTATGGCGAGACTCGAGCAGGCAGGTAGCGGCAACAATCGTTCCGTGTGTCGTGTTATTATCGCTTGCAATTATTTCTTGTGGACAAGTACTGCTCGTAATTAATAAATTTACAAGCGATTCGTAAAAGCGAATCGAGGCGGCGAGTGCCTTTGTTCAAGACATTTATTTTGCGTCATTCGTTATGAGTTATAAATATGGATTTAATTATTTTGTTCCGATAAGATACAGGAAAGGAAGAAAAAAAGTATACGGCAAAAAGTATTCGTACAAGAAAATTTATTATAAAAAAAGCCTTATTTGTAGAAAATAAACATTAATTATCAATTTTATACAATGACTATATTCTATTCTAATATAAATAAACGAACATGTATAACTTCGCATGTTCTCCTGATTTTAGAAGCTAAATTTCTCGTCTGTATGAATACTTTTTGAACATTCAAATAATAGAATTTTTAATCTTTGGTTACTTTTCAGATGATATATTTTGTAATAATTAATACACATTTTGGTACATACAATTTTAAGAAACATACAGTCTATTTTATTCTTTATGAATAAATTGTTAATTATCCAACAAGAAATGATCGTCAATTAAACATCGAATCGACGTCAAATTGGTGTTAAAATCATCGAATTTATATCGATTCGACATCAATTCGATGACTCAATTCTCGCTGGATGATATTTACCTTTTAAAAATAAAGTTTTTTAAAAAATATTTTCTCTGTATGAATACTTTTTGTATTCACTGTAATTAATTGAAGCGAGGTAGTAAGAATTATAAATTTGCTGCTTGATATTTAACAAGCAATACAATTATTACCATAATATCTATTAGATACATATCGCGTCTTTGACTTTCCTACAATTTAAAGGTAATCTACAGTGTGCTTTTTCCCGTTTTTTGCTTTTTGATCATTTTTATTTTTTACCTTTTTACCTTTTGGCCTGTTTCTCCGTTTTCTGTCGCCCGAGATAAAAGTTGAACTTCATTCGAAAGAGAAATACGTGACAAGAAACACTATTATCGCTAAAACAATCGCAAAGAAAAATAAGATAAGAAATAAAAAGTACGAAACAGGAAACAAAGAGAATATTGTAAATTAACTTGAAATACAATTTGCTCATTGTTCTTGGTTCTAAATTATGACGTTATACACGAATAGCTGGATCGAACAACCGGACAACGAAAGGTGTCTATAGTTAAAGTAAAATATAAGAAACAAAAATTCCATTTAAAAAGTTATATTAAATAAGTATTATATTTCTTAATATGGATGAAAACTTTTAGATTCCATTCAAATGTCCACCGTAAATTAAAGTAAAATACTAGAAATGGAAAATTTAATGGAAAATTGAAAAAGCTGTAGTAAATATTTCACGAGAAAAACATTGTCAGGTTTTGATGTTGTGGTGTTTATGACGCGGCACATATCGCGCGTTTTTTTGTTTACAAGTTGTCGTACTGCCACACGCACAACGAGATTCAAGCAGGCGGGCAGTGACGAGAGCAGTTCCGTGTATCGTCGTGTTATTATCTTTTAAAATGCGATTATCCCTTGAGTAAGTACTGTTCGTAATTAAAAAAATTCTTCCAATAACGAAAAGCGATTTATAAGCGTATCGAAGTGATGGTTTTCTATCAAAGACACTGCGTGATTTACGCATTTTACATTTAAAGTACAAATTTCGACCGTAGACTAGAAAAAAATTATTTTTGTAATGAGAATAGATTCGAATATGTATATATATATATAATATATATATATAATATATATATATATTATTTTGTTCATCACGTTTGTGTCTAAAGTTATAAACGAATGACCAGATCGAATAATCTGATAGAAATCCGCGAAATATCTATCGTAAATTAAAATAAGCCATGTCATAAAAGCCAAACATAAGCCATATTCGATTCTTATATTAAATTTGAAGACGTTCTATAGTTTTAAGATGTTAATCAGAAGCATATTAGTACTTTGAGACATTACTTAAGATGGAAATAAAAGCAGATCTTGAAATAATACATTTTACTTTTTAACGTTAAATAGAATGTATTCTAGAATAGCATGAATTTGGTAACCACTAGTTGATTATATGATCATCCCACTGATTATATGATTTTATTTGATTTCATATGATTTCGTCTAATTACAAATAATGTTTTTCTACATATGAAGTCATTTGGTAAAACATACGGTAAAATATATTTTATTTAATATTATACAATGATTTCTCATGATTGCATATATAATTATCGGATTATACAGAGATTTCATATGATTGAATTTTATAATGATTTCGAGAACTCTGTCCCACGATTACATTAAGTTATCCTCTCAGAATTTGGTGTTTGTATGTTAAGATGGAATTGCACAATGCTTGATTTCTTGAATGCTAGCATGTATACATCTGCTCTGATGTATGCTAGAATTCGTTCATACATTGAGCTCTGCATGCTGCATATATATGATTTTTATATTTATTATGGATTACTTCATAGCTTATTTCCTTGTATACACCAATCAAAAAGAAATAATTGCTAATTTCATAGTTATCAAACGTTATTATCAAACATTATTTATCAAACGTCAGACTGTATGCATCAAAGCAAGCATAGCAGCATACATGTGTACATTCAAGAAATCGAGTCTTGTGTGATTTCATCTTTATACGCTTTTATTTCTGAAGTACACAGGCTGTGGTCAAAGTCTCGCTACAAATGCTTTGGAAGTGTTTGATGGACCAATTAGAAAAAAGAATTTTAAACTAACCATTAAAAACTGCTTCAAAGCGTTTGCAACATCGCGTTGACTATACTCATAGCAAGTTGAAAAGTGTCGATTCGAAGTGACGCGCGCGTGAAAGTCGTCCCCCTCCGTTCCCCCCCCCCATTCTCCCTTCCTACGCTGCCGTCTTCTTTTATGTGTTGACGCTCCGTGACTATTCCTTGTGAAAAATCAATGTTTCGTCTCATTAATGAACTTTCACGACTACTATTCGAAATGGATACCTCGCGCGTATCATTCATTTAACTCAAGATAGAAGGGACAGGTAATAATTAGACATATTATATAGTCACGAAATTTACGGCGAAAGTTAACCTCTTTGCATATCGACGATGCTTCGATCTTCGATTCGAATTCATGTTACGTCTTGAATCTCTCAGTGACTCAGATAAAATGTCGCGTATAATTAATTGTCTTTCCACGAGTAATTATTGTGGGACTGGAGGAAATCTGAGAGGAAGAGAAGGTCTAGGAGCGAGCAATCACGAGAAGTAAATGTATTATTTTCTAACAATTGAGAAGCAGACTTTCATGCATTTTGTCCAAAATTTCATTTTTTAAGTTAGAGGTGGTATAGCGTTCAGTGTTGAAAGACTCATATTGTAAGTTACTCTATGATGTTTCTGTAAACATTTTTTCCACTATCAATTTATGTATTGAAAAAAGTCTAGACATTCGAAGTGCATTATGTTCTTTAACTAGAGACAAATAAAATGCATTTGTTTAACATTATTAGAAATAGTTTAGCAATTTTGTTTAACCTTTTATATCTTACTGATTGACAAATTGTTATTTTCTGTAAGGCACGTGGTTTCCTTGTGACTCTCACATGTTCATACATCCCTATTTCTTTTGCAAAATTATTTTTTTTTTAGTGTAATAGAAATACATAATAATAGTGAAAATATAAAAAATAATTAAAGAAATAATTTTCGCATTGTTTTAGAAAAAAATAAGTTTTGAAAAATGTAAAAAAATTGCTCATACAGTTTACTCCCCTCAATTGTGGAGTGTTATAAGATAATAATAATGATAATAAGATAACTGTTTGAATATTTCAGAGTCATCACAATCGAACGAGCACATCCCCAAATGAAATGTAACTGTTTTTCGCGAGTGATTATTGTGTAATAACGAGATCGAGAGAAGCAGGAGGCCTGGAAGGTATCGGGCAACGGCGGAGCAATTACGAGGTTAGTGTAATTATTTCTTAACAATTGCGAAATTCTTAATAATTACAAGACAGTCGTCCGAATTTTAGTGGTGTCACAATCGAATATGTACTCTCAATTCCAAATTAAAATATCGATGTTTTTGTCTTAAAGTACTTTATTTTGAATATTTCACTTGCTTATTATTACGAAAAGAATTTATTCGCATGTGTTTAGTCACATAACTATGAACTCAATTCTCTTCAGACTTATACATATAGATTGAAGTTGAATTGGAATTTAATCAATCAGAAGAAAGAAAATCAATATCAAGTTTAGAACTTTGCTCTGGTTGATCAAATTCTAATTGAATTTCAATCTCAATCTCTAGTCTGATATAGGTTTTTAAGTCTATTCTTACTATCATAGATTTAATTTTAGTCTTGATTTAAAATTTACTCTACTGTTTTCTAATTCTTAGAACTAGTAAAAGATAAAAATTAAGTTAAACAGAGATTAAAGTTAATTTACATTGACAAAAATTGACATTAAGGTGGTTCTTTAGTAAAGTTTAAAAATTTAAGGTGTCTCACCAAGGTCCACTCAAAATTACAAAAATATCTGCATAATTTGGATAAAATATTAAAACTACGTGTATATCTTAATAAAATAAGTATGGAATATATGATAGTAAATCAAGAGCTGTAAATCAAGATCTTCATCGAAAACAAGAGATTATGTTTACTTTTCGAGATTAAATTTATATGCAAGTTTATGCACGTAAATATCTTTTTAGAATGGCCGTTGATCTATTACTTTTTTGTGATCATTAAAATCGAACTATTATAATCTCTTTTTTTGGAAAAAGTCTAGAATTGCAGTTAGTCAAAGAAGCGTCTGCGAGCCTTATCTCTTTGTAAGTTATACGTGAAAGGTTACTCTCTAAATCTGAATCAATGGATAATCATTGATATCCAAGTATGCCATTGGTAATCAATGAAATATGAGATCCCTAATCTAATTGATCTTTATTATATGATCTAATTAATCTTGTTTTAATGCATAAATTCAATGAATATGATATTAGAAGATAGAAATTGTCATGTAAATATTAGTATTTTAGTTATATAATACTCAAGCATTTTTTTCTTTTTTAGTTGAACTTCACTGATTTGAGTGCCAAGTATGCCACTGGGTAATTAGTGACTATCCGTTGATTCAGATTTAAAGAGTAACATTTTTTTCTCTCTTATTTCATCGTCAACCTACCTAATTTTGCGCACATCAATTTCGATATTTCAACTTATATAAAAAAATTAGACATTTCTATGATAACTCGATTTATTAAAGTGATAATTCGATCACTAACTAATTTTCCAACATTTCCTCGTGACATATCAAAATATAGTATGCCTGTTGGTACGTATACGGACGGTGCACGTGCGTCGCACGCGTTCGCAGAAACGCTTGCACACGCGGCGGGGCTCATTAGCCCGATATCGGTGCGAGTGTTACCTTCGCTCTTGCACCTTGCTTTCTCGCGACAGCGACAGGTGCGATCTCGCATCGCCGTCTTTGTACGGCGGCTGGCGTTCGTCTTCGTTGGCTCTTCTCCAATAATGAATCGGTGGGACGGGGCACGTGGCATTGAAATAATTGCGGAAAGCACTCCCACGCGTTCCCGAAAAAGAACCCGTTGGAGAAATCAGCTTACGCCCGACCGCTTATCATAACGTGATAACAGCCGAATAATATAGTAATGTCGTATGTCTCATGTGACAATGAATAATTCAGATGATAGAGCAAACACGATGTCTTCTCTTTTATACGTACGCCAAAATCCTTATTTTTAAATAATTGGAACGTTAATCATTAAGATAGTAATGTGTTTGTAATGATGATGTTTAGTATGCTAAAAAGAAAACGTGTAGTTTATAAATTGCCATTATATGCTATGACGTAATGATAATTTTAATCATTATGCTATTATTTAATACAAATGAATTTAATATAATGAATGCACAAGAATTAAAGCATCTGATTGCGTAGGTATATAATTATTAGCACAACAGAATTGCTTAACAGTTATAATGAGATTATGGGACACAGACTTTTGCATAATGCATAACGCATAGTGCATAAGATAATCAATTAATCAAAGTTCTTTTCCGTGAAGTGGAAGAAAAGGAAGAATTCAGATTGATTGATTCTCTTATGCGTTGTTTTATGAAAAGGTCTGTGTCTTTTACGTTCCAGTTTCACAAGTCACGGTTAACTCTTAACTGAGATTCAATTTGTTTCTAAAATTGGAAAGAGATAATAAGTTGAATCTCGATTAAGAGTTAACTGTGAGTTGTGAAACTGGGCCTTACGAGAGATGATACTTACGCCTGATACTAGGCTGTACCGCGATACGTCTGTGGAGAAGATATTTCTCTTACGCAGGCGATAGAGAGACGGTTTAGTGCAATTGACATGAGTATACTCTAAAGGATTTAATACCATGCGGTATTTATATAATTCTTACATCTCGATGATTACAATCACAGTAATTTCCAATTTATAATTTGACGTTCTAAGCTAATTAGATTGTTAAATATACTAAAAAAATATAGATATGGATTTAATATCATGGATGTTAAATAGAATACATGATGTTGACGTTGATAGAAACATGGTGTTGATTTAACACTAAGGTTTAAAATTCATGGCGTTAAATTCACACCACAATGATGTTTATATAAACGGTGAGAATTCCTTTTAATACCCATGGTTAAATTCACATCCATATTCTTCGCATATTTAACAACGTAATTAATTAAGAATATGATAAATTTGAAATTATATTGTAACTGATTGTAATTATTGAGATATAAGAGTTACGTTAACATACATGGTATTAAATCCCATTACCCATATTTTTAAGATGTATTTCAGAATAAATTAACATGATTAACTAAGAATGTGATATGTTTGACATTGCTGTGATTGGTTGTAATTATCGAGATAAAATATTGGCAGTGCAACAGTCATTCTCGATATTCATTAAATTTGCCTCATTATAATACGAGCCATTTATCACAGCCATTTTTATGTCGTCTGCCACGGTGTACTTATTAACTGACACTATGTAAGTTATTCGAATTATTAATTATTATTTCGAAATAATTTTTCGCTGTTAAAAAATGATATCGAAGGAACAATCTGGATTTTGCGGACCTAGAGAAAATTAACGAGAAAACGTTTACGCGTCTGAAAATTTCGAGTGGTTTTAACAACTACAACGCGCTTGTTAATTGAAAACGTGATAATTAGTGTGCGTGCCGATCGTGCCGGCGCGAGCCACAAAAAGGACAATTGTACCGACATTATTTTCTTCACGTATACGCAAATTGCCTGCTGACTCGTATACGTTAGCGTGTGTTCGATCTTGCTCCTGCCGCGTCATTTTTATCATTTTATGCACCGGCGGCGTGACGTGATCGGTCTCGAGAGCTCCGATGGACCCGTTTCTTTAATCTCAGGCCCGGGTCCTCTCTCTAATCGAGTCAACTTCGTAAACATGACTGGAGACAATTACAATTTTGCGTGACATATTTAATATGTTGCATTATCGAATCGCAAAGATGAAGAAAAATTCGCCAATATGGAACATTAATTATGCGATGTTCTTGTTTTGAGATAACCTTGAATAAATCGCGCCGCAATTAAAGTGTTGCATCTGTCGATCGGTCTGCGCGATTGCTTAAGTATAAACTTGCTTGGAAACAATGTCAGAAAATAGCGTGGCAATTTATGCGATTAATTAATGTGATTCGATCGATTATGCTGTTTATCATAATGCACATTATACACATGAGCGTATATTTTAATCATGAATGTTAATGTGAGCGTAAAGGTCGGTTAGTATGACAATAAATCTAGTCTTGCATTTGTTCGAGCCTCGAATATTTCTTTTTTCTTGGCGGGTCTTCCAGCCTTTTTGAAACCTTTTGGCACAGTGAACGTTAGAAAATAGGAGGATACACCATACAGTTGCTGAATTTTACGACTTTACAATTTCAAGAAAATTTTAATGACGTCGTTAAAACTAGGTCTTAAATCAATCGTTTACGACATGGCTCTCTTTTATTTTTTTATTATATAACAATGGAGAATTTACATAGATTCATTCTAATTCTTGACTAGGTATTACGGGCGATTGAAATTTTTTCGATAACTTAAAGCTCACCTTTTACAGATCAAATATTGAATCTAATAATAATAAAGACAGTGAATGCAGTAAATGAATACTCGTAAAAAAATTGTTTGATCCTTTCGTATGTATCGTTCGCTAAATTAATAATCTTTGATCATTTTTAATGATTTAAACTAAAATATCTTTTTTTAATACTAAACATCTTGAATATACTTCAGTATTTATCGTATCATATTTGTTATAATTTATTAATTAGTTGTTAACAAAATTTTATTGAGTTACATAATGTATCCTACGCCATTCCAATTGAGTTATCTTATTAGAAAAGTAGGACGCAAGTTTGACATGAAGGCGTTAAATCGAACTTCAATTTAACATACAGGCAGTTTGTAAAACTCGTTAGAATAGCTAACGACTCGAAAAAGAGAAGTCATCTTGCGCGGGGGTTGGAAGACGAATTCGTTGTCAAATTGTGTAACAGCGGGATGGCGGTTATTATCAAGATGGTATAGCCAAGTTGTGTGTGCTGTGTATCGTCGGAGGCAGCGATCATCTTTTCTCGGCGCACACGCTGCCTGGGCGCACTCGATTTATCTCTAAAAACGATCTCGGACGTGTTCCTGCGCTTCCTATCCGAGCCTAGCATCACTTCGAAGTTGTTAACGAGGACCAAAGGGGCATCGCTCTTTCGCATGGCTAATGCAGGATTCACGAAAATTAATTCCATCGTCAGTTTCGAAAATGATAACTCTTAGCAGTCGAAATTCCGAGGACTTTACAGACTAATTCGCGCGATTGTCAATTAAAAAAGCGACGTTTTCTTGTAAACAAATTAGTCATTTTA